TAGCCCTGATTGTTCGCCTTGATCAAAATTTGCTGTTAAATAATTCTTAACTTTGCAACTGAATCTAGTGGATCCTGCTCGTGGCTTGGGTAGGGCCCAGCCCATACTGACAGTGTTTACTGGAGGCATTGAGTCACGTACAACCTGGTGGGTACTAGTTTCGCACTGTGGTTCGTCAGTGATGCTGACTGATGTAGTAAACCTCTCTGCCCAATCTCTACGGAGTTTATCATATACTGTTTCTGACAGCCTTTCATCCTTCACACAATGGTCCCCTACGTTCAAATGTAACTCGAGCTCTGAAAACGTTTGGAAACTCTTCACGCATCCAGGCTCCGAACATTCAAACATGTCCATCTTTGAATCGTCCAAATCATCGTCTTCATTTGAACCCTCTGTTCCAGGAACTGTGTATTCATACACACGTGCATTGTGAAAAGGGAAGAACTCCTTACTTACAACGAGAGCGGTGTCCCCTTGGTCATTTGAAACTAGCTGGTCGTAAGAAATCTCCTTGCCACGCCCTATTCCGTACGACCTCCACGCACGTATACTTTTTTCCCCAAACTGGATGTTGTGTAGCTTGCTAAAACAATCTATCTTGTTCACTTCTAAGGTTCTCTTAGACTCGTCAACTTCACATACGCACGCGGATGTACCTTTCACTGGTCTCTCAGAGAGCGCCTTTCTCATGTCTCCCGCTGTTAGAATGTCGTGTCCTTCGTTGCAGAAACATCGGATGCATGTTTTCATTGGGCACAGGATACGATCACACAATCCTTGCCATACTGTGACTCTGAAAAGTCATACCGAAAGACTTCAATACCTGCCCGCTGACCGATAAAAGAAGCTGTTAGGAAAACGAGCTCTGTTGCGTCTTGCCGAAAAAAAAAAACATCTCTTGCTACTGAAGAGAGGTTAAGGAAATGTTACTGGTAAGATCTTCGATGTCCACTTCTCTGTGGTTGATGATAACTGAATTAGTTGGCGATAAGCGTGCAAAACAAACACTGCTGTTTTACTTAATCAGCGCTTCGTGGGAGATGAATATGGCCATAAACTCAAAAAATACCTTGCCTTAGAAGTGTGGAATCATATGCTCTTCAGTTAACAGAGACAGTTCTTTGCGTTTAAGAACATCGTAGAAAAAAATTTTTATGGACACAATAAAGCTAATTTACAAATAACGCAAATAGTTTAAATAATGCTAATTTGCATAATTTATTAACTATAAACACAGGTCTTTCCTCTCTTGAACACCAATGTTTTCAACTTAACGGCGTAAAAGTCGCATGATATGTATTTTTCAAAATAAAAATTCGCTCTTCAGTTTTATTATATGATTTGTAACAAGTTCTCAGATCCCAAATTTACCTGTGTGTCGGATTGCGTTATCTTTGATTTCGATCAAAATGGCGAACATTAGTGAAATTTGCAAAGCTCTGTGCGGCGCGCCATGAAGAGTGCCCAAAAGTTTTATTCCATAATTTACTTATTAGGTATAAGTGCTTATAGGCTGTAATAGATCTGACTCTAGATCAGGTCCCACATAAGAGTGTTTTTCGACACACGCGTCCAAAATAGTTTCCGTAGCAATATTTGACCATGCAAACAATAGTTTCTATAGAAGTAGAAACGTTACTGTTGCATCCCTTTTGGACTTGAGAAACTCACTTAATGTTCAAGAGCGCTAGCCTTTGTTTTCAGTTATCAACGACGTGCCAACGGAATTTGTTGTTGAAAAAGTTGTTCATTTCACTCGTGTTTATTATTGTGGCCAATTTGCCAGAGTTGACCATTTCTTCCAGCTATTTGCTAAAGTTTTCCTTTTAAGTGGTTAGCAGGTTGTTCATCATCATTTGTAGTATGGCATCACAGTTGGTTTGTTAGCCTAATGGTAAGAGCGCTGAACCGGCGGTGTTGCAAAAGTCAACGGTTCGAATTACGTTCAAGCATGAATTTTTCAGGATTATTTTCGCAAATTAAAATTTTCGTCTATAATTGCGATGAACTTCTTCTCGTTCCGCAGTTCCAATATACTGTATTCATATATTCATCATTTCAAAACGGTATTTGTCGAAGAGGTGAAATTTACATATTTACTTTTTCAACGTGACTGAGTCAGTTACGCCTGGTCACGCAACATCTAGTTGCAGAGGTTTGTCTTGACGTCGAACCAAACGCGAATCCCGAAGATATGCAATATGATTGAGACATCAAGAGTAGGAGAATCCTGCCGGAAGAAATTGAAAAATAATACAAATGATCGAAACTAGCATTTTAATAAACTCCTGCAAAATTCACACATAATTAATTTCTCGAAATTAAGAAAATCACAAACCTATATTTACGCGTAAATGCTGTTAACATCTCCCACGGTCAGGGTAGTATTTTTTTACTTTCTTTTTTCTCTTTTAATTTTTGCGAGTTAAGAACATCGCCACAAACTTAATAACGACAAATTTTGAGAGATTTTCGCGAATTTTCTCAGAACTGAGTACGTCAATTCGCTGAGTACAACTGTTTATCAGGTTACTTTGAGGCTGTGCCTATTGTTCTAAAACAAACTCGCTCCACAGGCACCATCATTTGTTTTCCTGGGCTATGCAGCTTCTGATATAGTTTAATTAAAGCATTGGCATTCCTGTATAAATGACATCAGTTGCTCAATAAGGTCTTTTTTCCTGTCTCTCGATTTAAATGGTACTTCAAAAAACGAGATTTCTTTGAGCTAAATGTCACGGAAAGTCAAATTGTAAGTGAATGCAAATGTGTGCTTTGGAGTTGTCAGTCTGCTTGTTTGTTTTCTGTAATGGTGTGTGTAAATCGGTTCTTCTTCCACCGAAAAGCTGAAGTCAGTGAGACTCTTTCCAGCTAGACACAAGGGGAATTAATGCGACTTTTAATCATCGAATTCCTTCGGTTACTGTGGTGAAATTTATGGTAAAAATGTCCAAATTCAAGGGACTTGCAAGCAATAGGCGAAAGTGTATTTAGAGAAGAACTCAAAACTTTGCTCAACTTTTCAAAAACGAACAAATTGTGTTGAAGAATTCAGATATTAACGATTGAGAGTCACATTGATAAACGTAATCGTTAACTGCAACTAACTCTCGTTTTAAATTTCTGAGTTACTTTTTCTGAAGGACTATTAAATAAAAAGTCGTTTTTAGGCCGCGTTTCGATTTTTTTGTAAACAAATTTAGTACCACAAAATTTATTACGAGATCAATTTTTGCCGAAAAACCAAAGTGATTTGAGAGCGAGAGCGAAGAAAGAATTCATATTATTTATCGCCAAAAGGTCGTGATCGAAGTCTTTGCTGAAAAATTCTGCCCAGTTGGCAAAATGAGATATATTTGTGAAAAACTGCAACGAAGCTTGAGATGTTTGAGATGTTCTGCAAAGTAACTCAAGCGAAACGGATACCGCCCGCCGTGAGCGGGCCGAATGGGGAGAATATACTGCCCGCTCTCGGAACCAATCAGATTGCAGGATTCGTAGAGTACCCCCCGCTCACGAACTGAGAAAAAAATAATATTAGTCATTTTTATTCTCGGATTTCTATCAGAAAAGAGGTCCGTTGCAAGAAAATGAAAAGATATGGCAACACTCACATTGTACAAGTTGCGATACCAATTGTGCTACTATAAATTGCAAGTACGAGTATTTTGAGTATAACTGAGCAGTCGGTTAATAACGTGTACCTTCGTTAGCTTATTAATTTATTGCTGAACAGTGCCAGTAATGACACAGTAAAGGATTTAACTTACTGTCTTCCCGTGTTTTCGCAAACTTGGCACCACTTAATGGACCATCTCCGACTACAGTAAATGCTAACACCCTGATGCTGTAATTTGTAAACTCGTTCAGTCCCTCTATCGCTAGTGTTCGTTCAGTACCCTGCTCCTCAATGGTGACATTGTCGAATGTGGTGACGTTATCTCCGTTTGGTAATGCTCGATAAAGTACTTTGTATCCTTTGATGATTCCATTTCGATCGTCGCGGTCGACGGAAGTCCATGTTACCTTTATACTAGTAGATGTCACTTCACTCAATGTGACTTGATCTGGTGGGCCGCTTGGCTCTGCGGAAAAAGGAATATGGTCAGAATGTCACGCACTTTTTTCACTTTTTCGAGAAAAGTATATAGTGTATCAGCATTGTCCGAGATCGTACAAACAATAACAGTCATGACAAAAAAATTAATTAAATCCATATAATAAATAAAGAAATAAATAATAAAGTAACACTCACTATGCTGATCGGTAGTCTTCTCCACCAAAGCACTTATATTACTAACACCTTTACTGTTAACCGCTTGCATGGCAAACTCGTACATAGTGTGTTCATTTAGAGGTCCCAGCAACAGTGATGTTATTCCAGCTCCACCAACAGTTTTATTTATCCAAGGTGGGGTGTTTTCTTTAACCCGGTACAAAACATAATAGCCCAAGATGGCACCTCTAGCTTTGTCCTTACTCAGCATCTAGTTTGTAGAGTAAACAAAACATAAATTCGATGACCATACATGTAATTACTTTTTACTTGACACATATGTAACAAGACGTCCAAGTGTTGTAATTCACCGTCATGACCATTGCGTTTACAATGTACAGTACTTAAAGGTTTTCACTCTTTTTTTTAAAATATATTTATTAATCTTATTCTTTAGTTTTTTTTATAATTAAAAGTTGCACCAAAAAATACATTTCAAGTTTCCTTACGCTTAGTTTACACTGTACAGTGGATCTTCGAGGACATTTTAGTGTTATTACAGGCAGCTGTCAATTGAAAACGTCACACACGAGTACGGAGAATCAACAATGTTCTAGCTAGCTACATCTCATCGACTGCGATCAGTATACGTAGAATGATACACAACAACAAGGAATTTACCAGAGGGAGCTGAAAATAATGTCGTCACCGACATGATTACCTACATGTACAAGTAAGCAACTATCCAAAGATAACTAAGAGCAGAGTCTTACAAACTGTAAACACGCGTTTTGGCTACGCAATTTCAGACTTATAAATGCGAAGAGAAAAGTAAATTGTACCCAAGTGGTTATTAGAAAACTGACGAAGAATTTAAAATTAAACGTTTCTGTCTTATCATTTGCACTTCCGTCAATGTAAAGTCATTTAAAGTCATCCCTTTGCTGGCTGCTTTACGCGCAATGTACAGTGCAGATTATGGTTGCAATTTGCAAGCACGTTAACGATCCCACCTTCTCCATGAAAAGGGAAAATAAATACGACTTCTTAATATCAAAAAAATATATATATCACTCGAAGGTATATGTAACGTCTGGTAACTACCTGCCAGGAAACATTCACCGCAGTTGAATTGAGAACAGTCACATCGAAAGACGGAGCCTCACTTGGCACTGTAAGGGTGAATCAATAAAATATATCTTCTTTAGCATGTCATTATAAACATATAACAAATAGGAATTGCAGCCAAATTGTGTTTGCTTGACTTCCTCGCAGAGGTATAGTCATCTTACCATAAACAACCCTTGCTTACAAAATTTTCACAGTTAATGCACATTTAGATTCTTGGTACAATTTGTGGTACATCCATACATTCAGAAGATAAATCTTGACTCTTGGTTTTCTCTCTCTAAAATAATCATACAACTTAATCCAGGAGAGAATCAGTTCATATCACTGATGATTAATTACCAGAAACAAATACAAAGGAGAACATTGCAAAAAATAAAACTCGTTCAATTTCCGAAAAAGTATATGTCCAAATCCCCTGCCATATTCTTTTGGTAGCTTAAATTATTCATAAACTGTGGCTCCTTTTATACATGGAAGACAATTGTCTGAGTATACCTTCTTCATATGTGGTAACATTTAGAATGGAACTGCTGTTACTTCTCCCAATTTTATTTGTTGCAAACACTCTAATATTGTATGTTGTCCAAGGAAAAAGACCGGTAAGAGAGGCAGTTGTGGAGGGACTGGACACTACACAGGCACCATTTGAGAGTGATCCTTGACAAACAACATCACTGAAGTTCTGATTATCTTCACTGATCTCCACTGTGTAGTTCTTAATGTCACTGTTTCCAGAAGAACCAGGAGTCCAGGAGATACTTACAACTCGTGAACCCTTTGAGTCAACAGTAATGTTCTGTGGTGGGTCTGGTATCACTGTGGAATTAACAACATCTCAATAAACATGAAAATGTTCAATTTTGATGGATAGTTAATCAGTCTTTACCAAATAAGGTACACCAGAGTGTTGAAGAGTTATCAAATGTTAGTATATACATGCACACTCAGTGACCTTGGCGTTTCAAGCAATCTGATTGGTTCGCAATCTCGGGCTAATCAACAATGTACACCTCCGAGCAAGTGGATAATGTGAAAAACAAAATAGTGGGCGTAAACTCGCGTTTCACTTAAGTTTCAGAAGCAGAAATTGCCTTTAAATGGCTTCCTTTTAACTTTGTTGAGATCACTTTGAGTGTATATATACTAAAACAATTACTCTTTTCAATCTTGGTGAATAGTGGCTTTCGGGAATATTTACCTCGCCGCTTCGCAGCTCGGTAAATATTTAGCCACTATTCCCCTCGATTTTAAAGAATAATTGTTAATTATACATGTGGTGTACATGAAATCTGAATAATAAGCTCAAACTACTTTGTATAAGAATTTTTTCTTCCATAAGTGTAGTTTATGGAGGCACACTTGTAGTCCTGGTTGGAGACATCTTACTTTAATATGTATTTGCTTTTTTTGATTTTCTTTTTGTTTGTTTGTTTTATTTTTGGTCCATTTGAACCAAAACATTTTGAGGGCAAACCATTTTATGAGACAATGGGCTACCAAAATAATAACTTTAATCAATTAACGTCCAAGATCTGATTGTTAATTCTCTCCTCTAGCTGTTACACAGTTCCTCATAAATTGTTTACGAGAATTTGGTGTTAGATCATAACAACTTTAACCTGATATCATAGCACACCATACCTTGTATAAGAACTGATGTAACATCTGAGGAGGTACCGACCGCATTTTTGACAAAGCAGGTATAATTTCCCTCATCCTGCTTTTTACTTGATGAAATTCTCAGCTGGGATTGATTTTCAGTGAACTGTGTAATATTCACTGATCCAATGCCGATCCCGCTTTTATTTCTAGCAATGACATTTCCATCTTTTACCCACTGTACCTCTGACACTGGTGGTGAAGCAGTATACTGGCAAGTCAGCTGGATCTGTTTGCTTATTTCAACAAACTTTAGTTCACTGCCACTGATTGCGACATCTGCTCTAACTGGAATCATAATATCGCTCAAGTTAATCACCACAAATGAGAACAGTATTTGAAACATAATCCTACATGTCCTATAATTAGATGTTTTGGCATGTAGTATCACTATACTTTTTGTTTTGTTGGTAACCATAACTTACGTTGATGAGCCCACAAGGCAAAAACACCAAATCAAACCATCTAATTGGCTAATCATCACCCCTATGTTTATTTAATATGTATCTCTCACATAAAGGCCTTTCCACATCAGTGGACAAAACTAAAATTGTCCCAATAAAATCAAAGGACAAATTTTGTCAACTGAAGATAAACTTTTGTTTCCTCTGTTGCATCCACATTAAAAATTTCAAAGCTTTCAAATTCTGTCAGTGCCTTATCTGTTCCAAAGAACAGCTAGCACCTTTTAACATTGCTTTTATAGTTGAGTGATTTCAGTTCAATTACACTCTGGCTGGAGCTTTATCACAGTTTTGTGTATATACTTGATTTTGTCTCAGTTTTATCTGGGACAAATTTTGTCCACAGCACCTTTTGAAGATTTGTCCACTTCTGCAGCCAAAATTTTTAGTCTCAACAAACCATTCACACTTACAAAGTGTTTGTGATAAGTGAAAATTTTTCTAAACGAACAACTTTTTTGCTAGTACGGAAAGGCCCTAAGACAAGAAAAGCAAAACAAATAGAGAAGTACTTTGTGACAAGTCTGGTATGATGCTTGCATCAGATTGGCTCATGAGATAGAAAGTGTTTACAGAAAGTTTCAAAACATTTTAAAGTGGAATTTTAGTTTTGAGAGTTGTTCTTAGATTCTTGGATGCATACTCTGCAACAACTGTTATCCACACCCAAAACAAAAGTCCAAGTAGATGACACAAAGGAAAAACTGTAGTGAGTAGATGTACATGTAAAACCTGCATTGACCCTTTCACTCCCATATCTGTTTCTTAATTCTCCCTCTGGCTGCTACTCAGTTCCTTATAAATTACGTGTAGCTGAGGGAATTTGGTTTTAGATTAAAATAACAACTTATGCGTGGTAAGTATTAGTATCCTCACTACCTACATCTATTTGTTGGAAGCATGCCAGGCACTGGGAACAATATCAAGTAGACAATACAAGTTTCTTTGGATATCTTCTGATTGCCTTGGAGACCTTTTCATACATGTGCAAGGGTCTGGTGCCAAGTGTGCTAACTTTTAATTCAACGGCACAGGTTTTGACACCCTACCGATACTAAGTGAAAGTACTTTCACACTAAACATCACATATTCTGAAGTCTGAAATATGATACTCACAGTTAACTGTCAGTTTTCCTGGAGATGAGATGGTGGTATTTACACTGTTACTTGCCACACATCTATATTGGCCCTCATCTTCTCGCACAGTATTGGTAATTGTCAAACTTGAAGTGTTTCCTACAATCTCAGAAACATTAATCCTGTCATTTTTTGATAGTTCAATTTCATCTTTTGTCCATTTCACATCTGGTGTGGGGTTTCCATAAACTGTGCAGTTCAGAGTTACTGTGACTTTATTCTCTTCTATTACTCTCACATTCTGCGGGCTGCTGCTAAATTCAGGTGCAACTGGAAAAAGGAAATTAGATGAATGGGTAACAGTGATAAAGCATAACTGATATTTACATGTAGCAATCCACAAGACAGTTAAATCACTTATAAATACAGATTTAAATTCATTCCAGCTTCATCCAGAGAAATGGTTTAGTCTCATTTAGCATGCATTCATAAAGTATCTCTCTTGCAAAAGTCAGCGCTTAACTAGTTTGAGCCCTGACCCTCACAGAAAGTTTTTATTAACCTGTATTACATGTTTTGCCATATAAGATTTCTGTCTTTCTGTGATGTTAATTAATAATGAAGTGAACTTGCAGTTTAATGTATGAAAAATGGGTATGGATGTTTACTTCTGCTCCACAACAAACAAAGACATGTATTTTTTTCTAGATTAACCAGTGTTATTCGTGTGACTGCAATGGTTCCAATCTACTTTTACAGCAGTGTTGGCAGCATTCTTCCCAGATTTGGAGCAGGCAGATGTTATGGAGAGCGCCCATATTTTTCTAGAGTGCGTTGCGTTACGTAATTATTAAAAATAGAACGAAGAAGTTTCTAGAACATTTAGTCATGATGACTAAGCGAGAACTTTAAGGAGAACCTTCTAGAACCGTGACTCAGCATATTTTTGTTATGATGTAATCATAGTGTAATGTTTCTAAAAATAGCAATATTACAGATCTCTAGAACATTCTAGAACTTTTCTGAAAGATATATAAGGAGTCACGCTAGCTTAAAGAGGAAGGCCTTTTAGTGAGCTATAACTGCTGTTGCGAAGAGCCCAGAGGAGCGAGAGCCGGACAGAGTTGTTTACTGGAATTGAAAGCCGTGTGGAAGGCTACGTGAGAGAAAGAATTACGGACGTCGACATTTTGTTAAACATTTTCAAGAGAACTGTGAGTTGTGCGGTAGTACACTGAGATTTAAGTGATATTATTTGTAAAGGGCTCTAAGTTATAAGGATACTGATTGTATTAGTATTTATATCGCTCCGTAGCTAAGTGAAAAAGATAGTTATTATACTGGTTGTCGATATCGCTTCGTAGTTATTACGTCAGTCAATAAAGTAGTTGAGTTGTACGAGTTATATCTTTCTGGCGGTTTGGAAAATACCGTAACACAGACAGAAAAAAAAGTGCTGCCTGCCAGCTGTTAGAAATTATTTTGGACCAAGTCAAATACATTACTGGTGTGTCAGACAGTCAAAGAGACAGTGCTTATTACAAATGAGTCATAGCTAAAAACCCTAGCCTACCAGGACCACTACAGCTGTATCTATGATCTGAACGAAAATCTTCTAACTTGCCGGTGTATACAGTGTATTTGTGATGTGCAAAGGCACATAATGTAAATTACAGATCAATTGGGTAAATAAATAAATAAATGTCTCTAATAGACATATCTACATTCCAAAGATAACTTCATTTCTTTAAAATGAGAATTTCATCGCAACATCATAGACTATAAGGATAGACAAGTGACTCTCTATACCTACTTCAGTGTATAAACAGTCCCTAACTATAAATGGCAATCTTTAAAAGTTGACGTCCATTCCAAAACGACTTGATTATGAACTGATTGCTCAAACTAAATTTCTACCTTGGTATTTGAAGCTACAAAACTATTGCAAAGATGTCACCAAACTGACAACTTCTGATTTTTTTACCAATATTATTTTCAGACCTATGCAGAGCAAATATGGCCGTGAACATCGAATTTGGAAACATACAACCTTTCGATTGCACAGACCATCCGACAAGGTTGGGACCTCGTAGGGGATGATGGAAACGTTCTTCTGAGTTTTTTCTCGAGGAAAAATTTTTTTACCAACAGTATTTTGATAGCCATTCCCAACCAACTGAGGTTTCATATTTTCAATTAACAGACACTGTCAGCCACTTGGCCTGTCAGTAAACTGACTGAGCATTCTTATGTAGTTTTCTGTTAAAGGGTTAGCCTGCGAACAGGCTTTCCGTTCACTCAAGCGTGGGGACACAGGAAGGGGAGCCTGCACGCAAGTTCTAGTGTATGCCGGGATATATGAAAGACCATTATAGGATAGGAACGAGGAGATGGGAGTACGGGAGTCGGAGAGTTAAGGACCGCGGTGTAATCCGGTTTAATCCGTTGTTTAGATACGCATATTAAACCCTACAATTGGCGACGAGTATAAAAAGGAAATTTTCAGACATATGCAGAGCAAATATGGCCGTGAACATCGAATTTGGAAACATACAACCTTTCGATTGCAAAGGCCATCCGACAAGCGTGGGACCTCGTTGGAGACGATGGAATCGTTCTTTTGAGTTTTTTCTCGAGGAAAAGGCTATCACAAAAGACGCACAAAAACAAGCCTTACTTTTGCATTGCACTGGACAGGATGTTCAGGACATTTTTGTTACGTTGTGTGACTCTGGACCAGCCCCAGAAGAAGAAACGCAGTATGCGAAAGCTATGAGACTACTGGACGGACACTTTTTGCCACAAGTTAACATACCATTTAAACGACACCAGTTCCGTCAAGCAAAACAGGAAGAAGAGTCCGAGACAACAGACCAGTTTGTGACCAGACTGTTCCAGCTTAGCAAGAATTGCGACTTCGGAACATCCAAGGAAGAACAAAAGTGCGATCAGTTAATTGATAAATGTCGGTCCCATGATCTTCGCAAGAAACTACTCGCCGTCAGTGATAAACTCACACTTCGGAAGGCTAGAGATGTTGCTAGATCCATGGAAGCTGCCGAAAGTCAGGCACGGTCGATTGAAAGCGATTCACGGAGCGGAAATGTAAATTCCTTAGAGCGGGGACATTTTGACTCGCCTAAACGTGGAGGAGGACAAGAGAACGTTGTTATCGGTGAGGACTCGAAGGACATTTTGCAGAGGATCCGGAGTGCAAGGCAAGACTGGCTACTTGTATGAAATGTAAAAGAGTGGGGCATTTTGCCAAAGTTTGCAAAACGAAGGAAGACGATGCTAATAGACCCAGGAAAGGAAATATACGCCAAGTCACCAAAGATGATTTCGCCTTCACCTTACAGTCTAATGTAAGAGATATTCCCACGAAGACATTGAACTAAGAGGTGTACGACTGGAAGGAGTTCTAGTCGACTCTAGCTCCACTTGCAATGTTATTGACAGAGCGACATGGGAGACGCTTAAGGAGAAGAGAGTGAAATGTGTTTCAAGAAAATCCAACAGAAAGCTCTACTCTTATGGATCCAATGAGCCACTTACTACTGCTGGTGAGTTTGAAACTGAACTTTGTTATAAAGATAAACGTTGCCATGTGTGTTTTATTGTTGTTTACGAGAAAGCAATAGCAATACTTAGCAGAGAGACCTCAGAGGAGCTGGCAATACTGAAACTTGAAATTAATGCCATAGAAGAAGAAAACCTATGTAGGAATTTTCCTGAGTGTTTTGAGGGAGTAGGAAAACTTAAAGATTCCCAAGCAAACCTCCACGTTGACACCTCAGTTAAACCTGTTGCACAGAAGTTGAGACCCCCACCTTATGGGCTAAGGGACAAAATAGAACAGAAGCTCAAGGAACTAGTGAACTGTGATATTGTCGAACCAGTTGAAGGCCCCACTCTATGGGTAAGCCCGGTCGTGGTGGTTCCCAAACACTGGGGAGACATCAGACTCCTCGTAGACATTAGAAAAGCCAATGAGGCTATCGTAAGGGAACGTCATCTCATTCCCACAGTTGATGACATACTCTATCAACTGAATGGAAGCAAGGTGTTCAGCAAATTAGACCTCAAATGGGGATTTCATCAGATTGAGTTAGAACAACAGTCGAGAGTTATTACCACATTCATTACTCACAAGGGTTTGTCTAGGTATAAACGCTTGATGTTCGGAATCAGTTCTGCCTCGGAGCTTTATCAGCACACCATTCAACAAGTGCTGGCTGGGTGTGAGGGTGCCTACAATATCTGCGATGATATATTTATCCATGGTCGTACGGTTGAAGAACATGACAGCAGGTTGCAAAAGACCATTAAGTGTATTAGTGACAAAGGACTGACCCTCAATCCGGAAATGTGTGTATTTAGAATGCCACAACTCACCTTCATGGGATATCTGCTATCAAGGAAAGGTATCGGCCCAACAGAGTCACGTGTTGACGCAGTAGTCCGGGCTAAGGAACCCACAAACGCAGAAGAAGTGCGGAGTTTCCTCGGATTAGTGAATTTTAGCGCCCGGTTCATTCCTAATTTAGCAAGCATCTCAGAGCCACTCAGAGAATTGACTAGGAAGGATGTACCATTCAAATGGGGCACAGAACAAGGAGCGGCATTTGAAATCCTGAAGAGTAAGCTGGGACGGGCAGAAACATTGGCATATTTCGACAGAAATGCAGAAGCAACCAAGCTAATTACAGATGCAAGCCCAGTAGGCCTTGGGGCAGTGCTTACACAGGTCCAGGAGGGACAAGAGCGTGTAATCGCATATGCTAGTCGTGCCTTAA